TGTCTCTTTAAAAGACGATCTACAATTTTTCAAGCATTATTCTTGGAAATTATTTGGTTGATAGTATATATTTGGAATTAGTTTAACATAAATATTATTTTTAAAAAAAGTCGGAGTATTTTTATGTTAGAAATCTAAAAGTTCAAATAATAATAAAAATGAACATTTGTGAAATATTGATTCTAAATGATACTCTAGGGATAATTTCTCCTTATTTTATCGATGAAAAGTAGTACATATAATTTACCATAGAAATTTGTTACCTATTTAAGGAAATAATTTAATTAATTTCAACATTTAATTCTAAAATCTGTAATTTGTTTACATCGAAGTTAAGAAACCGGGTGAAAAGAGAGAGTTAGCCAGCAAGCAGTGGTGGCTAACAAACGGCGAGCAAGGATGGCATGTTGAAGGGGAAGAGAGGGGAAGGAAAGAGAGGTAAAAAAGAATAAAAATACACTAGTAAAAAAAATTAATAAAAACAACCACCTCATTTATATGTCACCTAAACATACTACGCCAGTTTTTCGTTAGTCAACCAACGGTCAAATTAATTTACCATTTAAAATTATGTCATAAATCTTACGAACTAAACTGTTCATGTTGAAATTTCATGGACTAAGTATACATAAAACTCAAACCTCAAGGATCAAAAATGTATTTATCCTTTTTTCTTTTTGTATTTTTCTTTCCCACTTGTTATGTTTAAAATATTAGATATGTTTAAAATAATTTTAAGTTTTGAATTTTAAAATATCATGGAGTTGAAACCTTTCAAATCTATTGTACTTTTCGAAACAAAGATTTAAATAAGATATTAGGAAGCTGGAGAGTTTCTTTGTAAGATGTTTCAAGACAAAGATTTAAATTAGATATTGGGAAACTCGAGAGTTTGTTCCTAACATGTTCCTACCTAATAGGGTGGAAACGAAGTTGTTGCTTGTCAGCCTAGCCTACCATACCTATGTGTTATTTATTTTTTATAATAAATAATATATTAATATTAATAAATATGGGATCGAATCTTTGGACCGATCCAATTATGGCCCAAACGGGCCGGCCCATGGGTCAGCCCAATTTAAAAAATAAAGATCCATATCCAATCAAATTTATGGATAGGTTGGGCTAGTCCGGACCGGTCAAACATTGACCTTGGGTCGGATTTGGATCGGGCTTGGGCTAGGCTTGGGCCGGCCTTTGGGCTTTGAGCCCGATGATGAGGCTGACATATGAAGTATAAAGGTGGTTCGCATTTTGATTCTAGGTTTCATTTTTCTAATTTCCAATTTTTTAAAAAAGTAAACTCATTTGGTAAGATTTTATGTTTGTTATTTTTGTATGAAATTTTTATACAAATTTTGGAATAAAACAAATGGATTTCTCTCCTTTTTCATTTAAAAACATAAATAAAATATTATTTAATCATCTTTTATACTATGTAATAAACAAATTACTATTTTGGGTTTAAATTTTTTTATTATTGATTAAATCTACATGTATCATGTTGATTTGAATTTTCTATCATTGACTAAATATTAAAATTTTCTCATGTATCAATGTTCTTTAAACGTGGAAAAGAAAGGTAAAAGTTCTGATGATGCTGATTTTTGGACAAGTCTCATGCATACACCACTAGGGATGTTAAAAAAATCGACAACCTAAAGAATCCAAAAAATCCAACCCAAACCGTAAAGGTGTTGGGATGGGTTAGATAAAGGTTCGGTTCGAGTTGGGTTGCAGATTTTACGAACCGAGCGGTTTAGTTTGGTTCGATTCATGGGTTCACTTAAAAAATCGGTTCAACTCGAACCGAACCAAACCGAAAGTATTACTTTTTTATTTTATTTTTAATTATATAACTACTTTCAATCTAAGCCATCCATTTACTTTTAATCTCAACCGTTCACTTGCTTTCCATCTTATCTTATCCTTAGAGTTTCAACATTTTGTTTCAATTTCAAACTCACAAGGTTGTCTTATTCGTTCATTTTTGTCTTGTCGTTTTCTCCTCTCCCCTCTCAAATCTTTGTCGCTGACCAACGCCCACAAATCTGCTCGTCGCCTGTAGTCGTGACGCACATCTACGTCACCGCCATGAAGCAAGTGTGGGTCCACCGCCCACACTCGTCGTTATCGTGAAGCAGATCTACATCTGCTTGTCGGCTGTAGTCGTGACCTGCAGATCTACTTATCGCCGTCGTCAAGCAAGTGCAGATCCACCATCCACACTTGGTCGCTGTCATGAAGTAGATCTGCATTGCCCATCACCCGTAGCCGTGACCCACAGATCTACTCGTCGCCGTCGTAAAGCAAGTGCAGACCCACTCGTCGCCCGTAGCCATGATGCACGACCCTTTTTGCCACCGTGAAGCAACTCGACAACCCAACCCAAACCAATCCAAAACTTTTGGGTTGGCCATCGTAATCAGTTTCCTTGGTTCCCTGATCTAGCCAACCCAAAAGGGTTGGTCTAAAAAATCCTACTAACCCAACCAAACTCAACCCATGAACACCCCTATGCACCACGCAAATACTACGTACCCCTTTGTTGCTTAACTCTAAAGGTACCTGCACATATAAAAACTTGGCACTGATGTGGTGATATGACAATTGCACTCGCTTAGTTAGTACTCAAGATAGGACCAAGCAGATATTAAGTACGTAGAATAATTACAAGGAACTTTGTTAGAGTCTTGCGTGAGAGTGTGTGTTAGAGAATTTGCGAAAGGTTTTGCATAAGAATTCTTCTCTTTGTCTCTCTGCAAGAGATTTTTGCTCATCTCAATTTCAGGAGTTTGAGTATTGCTTTTGTGTGGAGAGATAGAGGAAGAGATAGAGGGAGATAGGGAAGGAGGGAGCTAGGTAGAGGCGAGTCATGGGAAACCCCGACATTCTGTACCTCCTTATTACTTTTCAGAGGAGGACAATGCTATTAAAGAGAGTCAGGTACACTGCAGGTTCTAAGTGCCAGGTGCACTAACCATATTCATTTATGTCCATATGATGCACTCGACATTCTCCATCTGATGCATTTAGTCTTGGTTTGGTGCGCTTGGCGCCCTCCTCTTCCTGCGTCATTGTGTCAACAGACGTCTCTACGGGGGTGTTCCACGTGGCGCTCTAGATTTCCCCTTAAATAAGTTGACAGATGTAATTCAAAACACACAAAAATCCCAATAAGAGGCTATTTGTTTCGTGGGAATCCAATATTCCCATTGGATAGACATCTAGATTCTCACGTTTGTTTTGCGTGGATGTAAGATACCGAGATGTCCATACTAGACGTATCTAATGAGTTTTGGATGACCTTTTGAAACATGGATTTTCACGATTCCCGTGTTGAGGGCATCTTATGTTTAAATTTTTGTCCTTCATTCTTTTTCATGTATTTTGTCAATTTTCTTTATTTTTATTTTTAAATTTATAATTTAAATAAATTCACGTACTCATCATTTAATAAACAACTTTATGCAATTACGCACATTACATTTACATATAAAATAAACTACAATTAAATTATATAATATCTCCATTTATTTTTAATGTTTTTAAGGAATTATATTATTAATATTATTTATTATAAAAAAAATATATAATTTTAAAGCAATATTTTTTTCTGATCGACATACCGATGATATTTTTCCCCTTAAATAAAATATAATGTGATGACGAGAGAAATAAATTTCACCTAAGATAAAATCAATTAATTACATGAATGTATTTTTGGAAAAATATTAAAGTTGAAAATGAAATTTATATTAAATTATTATGAATTAATTTGTTCTACAAAATAATATATAAAAAAACAAAGTATTAAATTAATTAAAATAGATCTATTATATTAAAGAAATGTATAAATTATATGAATATTCGTAAGGATATTTTTGGAACATTCTATACATTTAATACATTCCCAAGAATAAATCTTACAAAACAAACCTAATTATCTAAATATTTACGGATATTCTTATAAATTCTCCCACAAAACAAACTTGACTATTTACCGATGCTGGACATATAAATTTTGGGCATCTGAAATTTCAAGCATCGTAGATGTCGAATATCTATATTCCTGAAAAATAAAGACCCCAAAAAAACCTTTTTTTTTAGATCTTATCGATTTCATAGCATATGTTTTTATATGTTAGAATAGAATATTTATATTTGGTACATCTTTCGTAATTTAATGTAATGTTTATGTATATATTAGTTTCCTATTTAGTTCCTTAGGTTTAGGCTAGGAGTTTTGTTTAGGCTAGGAGTTTTGGTTATTCTCCTGTATATATGAACAAAATTGAATGAGAAAGGGGGAAAAGATTTTGATCCACTTACAAGAGAAATTCTTCTTCTGCCGCACCTTCCACTACCGTCATAGATATTTGTTTTTTTTTCCTCCAGATTTCAGTTGCCGATTTGCTGATTTTGTTGAGAATTTCAGTTGTCTGCTAGATTTTTTTTTCTCCTCTCCGTTCAGATTTTCTCCAGTCCTTCTCCTTCATTTTGTTGTATTCTCATTTGCAGTTGGCCAACATGATAGATCCCAAATCTTCAGTTGTCAACATCAAGAACCATATTTCCATTACCCTTTAGATGGAAAACGTCCAATATACAACGTGGGTGGAACTATTCAAGCTTCACGCACCATCTCACAGGGTCATCGACCACATTATTTTTCTAGAAAAAAACAAAGAGAATGTGCCTAAAATAGATTAGGAAAAAGTACTTTAGTCCACCATTGATGCTATGGTTCTTCAATGGATTTATGCAACTATCTCCCATGATATTTTGTACACTATTCTTGAACCCGACGCCAAGGCCATGGAGGCTTGGAATAGGTTGTGTGATATACTGCAAGATAATAAAAATTTTCAGGCTGTCACTCTTGACCAAGATTTTTCTCACACTCCCATGGAGGATTTTCCGAATGCCTCCACCTATTGTCAACAACTCAAAACTTTGTCTGATCAGCCTTAGTCACAAACAATCGGCTTGTTCTTCAAATGGTCGTTGGCCTCACAAATGCCTATAGTGGGGTTGCTACATTAATTTGCCAAAGCGACCCATTTCCACCGTTCTATCAAGCCCGTTTGATGCTCACTCTTGAAGAAGTGAGTTTTGTGAAAAATGTGGCCATCGAATCGAATGCTGCCATGGTTGCTCGAAAGGTCAACGATGTTACCCCCACCTACATTTTCCCTTTAAATCGGGGTAATTTTGGTGGTAAAAAGACTGGACGTTACCGTCATGGAAACAAGGGTCGTGGTGGGGGATGTGGCGGAGGGAAAGCTGTCGACGGTGGTCATGGCGAGAACAACGGGCGCAGTGGTGGTGGACATTAGCAACTGCTAGCTTTGTGGACAACCCATTAGTAGTGACCTTGGCTATGGATGTCGTGGGCTATCCCACCATGCCCATATCCATCTACACCTTAGGCACTCCCCAATTTGCCAAATTTGCAGCAGCGTCCGAACATTGGAATTCTTGGGACCATACCGCAACAGACCTTTTCAGCAGCGACCTCTCTAACTCCGACGGACATTGAGGCCGCGATGCACACTCTTAGGTTTACTGCTCCAACTCCATATGCAAAGTGGTATATGGACACTGGTGCCAGTTCCCACATAAGGTCCACACAAGCTACTCTTACGTCTTATTTTAATTTGAGCAATAATCGTGGTATAATTGTCTGTAATGGTCATTATATTCCAATTAATGGTTATGGTCACACGAACTTGTCTCACCCATACCCTCCATTAGCCTTGAAAAATATCCTGCATTCCCCTCAACTTATTAAAAATTTGTTGTCAGTTTGAAAGTTTACTACTGATAACTCGATTTATATTGAATTTGATCCTTTTAGATTTTTTGTGAAAGATTTTCGAACGGGGATGCGTCTAATGAGATGTGAGAGTTAGGGCGCTCTTTATCCAATCACCACCAAACCAAGCATTCCACCATTTATGTTCACAATTATGACATGAACACTTAGGTCACCCGGGAGCACCTATTGTTGAATCTCATGGGCTAATAAATTTATTGAATGTTCTCCAATTCATAATTCTAAAGTTTGTCACTCATGTTCTCTTGGCAAGCATATTAAATTTGTCATTTGTTTCTTCGTTTTCTCGCAATTTTATACCATTTGATATTATCCATTATGATATTTGGACTTCTCCTGTTTGAGTTCTTCGGGACATCATGATTGTATGATTTTTTTGGATGATTACTCTAATTTTTTTCTGGACATTTCCCTTGTCTAAAAAGTCTAAGTCTATTCCATATTTTTAGCCTTTCGGGCTTTCATCCACACCCACTTTAAATGGGAAATAAAGAATATTCAATGTGATAATGGACGAGAATTTGATAATGGGTGCTTTTGGGAATTTTGTAAGATTCGTGGGTTATCCTTTTGTCTATCGTGTCCTTATACTTCATCTCAATGGGAAAACTGAGAGAAAATTTTGTACCATTAACAACATTATTCGCACCTTATTAGCCCATGCATCCTTACCACCTTCATTTTGGCATCATGCCTTACAAATGGCCAGATATATATCTTTTAAACATTCTTCCAAGTAAACAACTAGCCTATCAATCACCTCTTCAAATTATTTCTTATTCTCATCTTCGGATTTTTTGGTATTTGTGCTATCCTCTTTTTCCTTCTACCACCATACAAAAATTGCAAGCCCACTCCACCCCATGTGTGTTCTTAGGTTTCCCACCGAATCATCGTGGCTACAAATGCTATGATTATTTCCATTTGCAAAGTTGCACAACCCAGAGACTCAAACCTATGATTTTATGGATGATGGTTCATCTCCTTTGTAGTCCACCATTTAGTCTCTCGAAATGGTCCAACTTCGCCAAATTCAGTTTTCCCTTCTCTTGCACCGCCTCTTGATGCACCACAGGACTATACACATTTATCAAGACTCCTCCCAATTCATCTTCATCACATTCGCAACCCCCACTGATTTCGATTGTACGATCAGTGACGCGTAGCTAACATAGGATCTTTAAGCCAAAACATCAATTGAATATTACCACTCACGTGACTAAATCCACGTTGCCTTGTAAACCCTTGTCTGCCTTTTGTGACCCAAATTGAAAAATGGCTATGGATGATGAATATGATGCTCTTATTAAAAATAAGATGTGGGAGTTAATGCACCGACTACCTGATCTTAATATAATTCGTTCTATGTGGATTTTTACTCATAAACAAAACGTCGATGGCACTTTTGCGAGGCATAAGGCCCGTCTTGTAGGTGATGGCAAAACCCAACAGGTTGGCATGGATTGTGGTGAGATGTTTAGCCCGATTGTAAAGCTGGGGACTATTCACACGGTTCTTAGTTTGGCTCTCTAAAGCTCGGTCAATTCACCAACTCGACGTGAATAATGCTTTCTTACATGGGGAACTCAAAGAGACTGTTTACATGCATCAGCCCATGAGTTTTTGTGATCCACATAGTCCTCATTGTGTGTGCTTTATTAAATAAATCTTTATATGGGATCAAATAGGCCACGCAAGCTTGGTACAAGTGGTTTGTTGATTATGTGGCGACTCTTGGATTTTCTTACAGCACTTCGGATCATTCTCTCTTCATTTACCGTCAAGGTACTGCTATGGCATACATTCTTTTGTATGTAGATGATATTATATTGACAACTTCATTAGATGGTTTTTGTATGTCTATCATTTCTCTTCTTAGCTTCGAATTTGTTACGACAGACTTGGGATCTTTGAGTTACTTCTTAGGTATAGTTGTAACTCCTCAGGCATGCAACCTTTTTTATCTCAAAAAAAGTGTGCTGCAAAGATAGTCGAATGGGCCGACATGTCATCATGTAAGCTTCCCCTACTCCAGTTGACACTAAATCGAAGTTGAGTGCTCATTCAAGCACCCGCATATGCGGATCCCTCTCATTATCGCCGCCTTGTAAGGGCTCTTTAGTATCTCACCTTCACGAGACCCGACATTACTTATGCAGTGCAAGAGGTGTGTTTATTCATGAATGACCCAAGGGATGAACACATGCGTGCTCTGAAGCGCGTTGTGCGCTACATTCAGGGTATTCTTGATTATGGTTGCATCTATATCCCTCCTCTACATCCACTCTCCTTTCTTACACAGATGTTGATTGGGGTGGGTGTCCAAACACCAGACACTCAACGTCTGGCTATTGTATCTTTCTCGGGGATAACTTAATCTCTTGGTCTGCGAAACGACGAGTCATTCTATCTCATTCTAGTGCGGAGGCAAAATACAACGGGGTTGCCAATGTTGTTTCTAAGTCTTGTTGCTTACAGAACCTTCTTTTGGAGCTCCATTGGTCCATTTCAAAAGCTACATTGGTATATTGTGATAATGTTACTACGATATAACTTGCAGGGAACCTTGTCCAACATCAGCACACCAAACATAGCGAGATGGACATTCACTTTGTTCGCAAAAAGGTTGATCGTGGCCACGTCGTGTCTTACATGTTTCGTCTCGCTATCAGATTGCTGATATCTTTACGAAGGGTCTTCTATTGGTGTTATTTGAAGATAATTTTCATGACAGTCTCAATGTCCGCCAACCTCCCGCTACGACTGTGGAGGTATATCAGAATATTTTATATTTGTAAATTTTGGTAATTTAATGTAACGTTTACGTATATATTAATTTTCTATTTAGTTCCTTAATAGTAGGCTATAAGATTTTGGTTGCTCTCTTGTATGTACGAGCAGAATTGAATGAGAAAGGGGAGGAGACTTTGATCCACTTACATTATACTCATGAGATTTTTTTCCTTCACAAATCCAAATAAAAACACATCCAAAAACAAAAGTTGTAATATTTATTTTTTAGATTTAACATAAAAGTTACGGTATTTATCAAACCTTAAAAGTTCTGAAATTTAAAATTTAGAGTAAAAATGAATGGGATAAGTGCGTATACTATAGACTGATTTTTTCTTTAGAAAAAGAAAAACGAACCAAAACAGAAACGAAACAAAGGATAAGCACGTGTATATATATATACATATTGCATGGTGGACTGCAGTTTATGCCAGATGGCAAATAACATATCGCCACGTCATCCTCCCTTCACATGCCCGCTTACACGTGTAAAAGTGAAACCTTCAAATTTTAATCTCTCCCCAAAATCCCTCTCCCTCTGTTTGCTCCGCCATGGATTCCGACGACGAACACGAAGAATCCGGCCTCCCAATCCCAGCGCCCACCGATTTCTTCAACAAACTAATATTCCTCGCCGCCGAATTAATCTACGCCGCCATCGCCTTCGTCCTCGCCCCGATTTCCACTCTCCTCTCTCTGCTCTCCGAGTCCTTCCTCCACGCAGAGGAGGCGAAGCAGAGCGTCGAATCCGCCGTCCGGAGAGCCCCCTCCGACGCCGCCCGACGCGTCCGCCTCGCCGCGAGGAGGGTGAGCTACGGGCTGGCGGCGGCGGCACTGGTGTGCGTGGCGATGGTGGTGCTTCTGGCGGCGGCGGCGGGGGCGAGCGCGGCGGCGATGAGGGCGTGGATGGAGGAGCCGGTGATGGTGAGGGAGAGATTGAACTTCGATTACACGCAGGCGCAGCCTAGGGCTGTGTTCGGGGCGGAGAATAATGGGAAGAAGAACAATTTGGGGATTCCGGTGGGGCACCGGTTTACGGCGTCGGTGATTCTTCTGATGCCGGAATCTGATTTCAATCGCCATGTTGGTGTTTTTCAGGTACTTTTTGCTGTTCATCTTAATGGAGTGATTTGAGTTCATGTTCATTGTTTTTGTTCGTTAAGTGCAATATATTGGGCAGAGGATTCGAGCTGATTAATTCTTTTTGTTGTATTCACATGTCAAAAGCCAAAAATAGTATACTTTTAGTAGAGTTAGTTTGGACCAACAACTAGCTTTGACTGAAAGTTTATTTTAATGCTAGAAAGCTCTAGAGATATAGTTGAGAATTGCTTGTGGCTTATTTATTAGACATAAATTCAATTTTGTGGATAGCGCACTGGATGTTAAAAATTATGGAGAAGGTACTAGGGCTGGGTAAGGGGGGCATTTGGGTCGCGGGTTTGGGTTCGAGTATTTTTTATCTTTTTTTCTAAATTTCTTTCTTAACTATTACACCCTTTTACAATATTTGATTTTTCTAAATTAAAAAAGAAGAAAAAAAATGGTGGGTAACTCTATTATTTTGAAATTTTGCCAATTTAAGACTTTGAGGGATGCATTTGTATTATATTAGTGTTTAGTAATGCTTTGACGAATTGAATTTTGTTCCCATAATGCCAACGTTTAGCATGTTGTTGCTTTTGCAATGGTGGTTTGAATTTAAGAAGTGTTATATTTCATTATATGTATTTTTTGAATGTTTAATATATATATTTAATAATATTTCTAAACTTGGAAATTTACTATAACAAAATGAGGGGAAATGTGTAGAGAGAGATTAATAAGAGAAAACATCTGTAAGAAAGATTACTAAGAGACTAAGGGCATGTTTGCCGGCCCTCCCAAAATCACTTTTAAAATCACTCTCATTTTAAAACAGAATCTTTTGGAAAGATTCATTCTCCAAAATCACTTTAATGATTTCAATTGGAGGGTGATTCTCCAAGTGATTTTTGATAAAAAAGAAATAATATATATAATTAGTTTTTCAAATAGTTATAGATTTAATTTTCAAGATTGTATTGCTTTTCACCTCATTTTCACTTTAAATTTTGAGAAATTTTTTTTTCCCTCTTCTACCAATTTTGTCCCTCTAACTTTATCATTTTGTTTATTCCCTCTAATTTTGTTCTCTAAAATTTTCGTAAACTCTCCCTAAATTTTTAGTTCCCATCTTTCTAAGTTTATACTATCTAAAATTTTTGTCTCTCACACTTTCAAATTTTTCTCTCCAAGATTTTTTTCTCTCTTTAAAAGTTTTGTCAAATTCTCTCTTTAAACTTTAATACTAATCATTCAACATCATTTTTAATTATATAAAAATCACTTGAAAAAATGTGTAACCAAATGTTAAAATAATTATATAAAAATCACTTTCACAAAGTGAATTATCATTAAATTTCTTTTGTTTACTTATTCTAAAGTGATTCTCAAATAGGTCCGAGAAAAATTGACAAGAAGGCTCATGTAGGTGTAATAAGAAGTTAGTAGAAGAAAATCTGGGTGAGAAGGGAGAATTCAAAAATTAAGGTGTAGATGAATTAGTGAGAGAAACTTATGGAGAGAGATATTAGGAGGGAAAAGACAAGTAAAGATATTGGTAACAAAAAGAAAAAAAAAAGTGTTAGAAAGAAGTTGATATAGGGAGAATAATTAGGGAAAAAAGTGTCCTTGTAGATTAAGGACCATGCATTAAGGATAAAAAAGCACTTAATTGTTTATTTGAAAAATTATTTAAAAGTCTTCTTTTGCTTCTTTTTTTTAAGTGGTTTTAAATCATAGTTAAATATGTATGATTTGAGGTTGGAATAGTTCAAAAGACTATTGCACACAAAATTGAAATTTTAAAGGCTTCACAAAACTTAAAATTAATTGAAAGGAACATATTAGACACAAATTTCAAATCTGAAAGTTTAGAGACTAAATTTATTTATTATTATTATTTTTAAGTACAACATGTTGGGGTTGGGTTCGAACTTACAACCTCATGATTGGAGGAATGTGTTAATTATCGTGCTTACTTTGACACTTATAATTTAATTTAATAACGACCTTTTGCATTCTTATCATTATTATATATTCCACAAATAGGGTTTATCTTGCCCATGAACAATCCTAGCTAATTCATGCAATATTGAATTCTTTTTCCTTGTGGAAAACATGTAACAATTGAAAACATAAAAAAGTAAATCTAAAAATTCAAGAAGTAAGATTGGATCTAAAAATTTAAAAATAAATCCCAAATCATGCCTAGGATGCCTATGCCTGTGTTTGAATCATTTCTATTTGTGGCTTTTCACAAATTTTCAAGTCCACATGCAAGAGAGATGTCTTTCCGCAAATTTTCAAGAGAGTATTGGATATCCTATAAATTATTTAAATTTAATTATATTTAACAATGCTAAGTGAAAGCTAATAAATTTTAATACAAAATTTGGAAGTTAAAATATAATATTTCAAATATTAAAAAAAGTTCATAACCATGCTCAAACGTCAAACCCAAGAGATTTACATTCTTTAGGTGACATTTCATATATGAACTTCTAAAACTCACCATTTCCTAATTCAGTTGCGTGCAGAGCTGATATCAACAAATGGAAACATAATAACCAGTTCAAGCTTGCCCTGCATGCTCCGGTTCAGAAGCAGGCCGGTCCGGTTGACGCGAACATTTCTCGCTAGCATCCCTTTAGTCTTAGGAATCTCGACCGAATCCCAAGAGCTAACCTTTCACATGCTAAAGCACAAGGAAGTAAATCATCAACGAAGCAAAGCTATCCGAGTTACTATTATTCCTCGTGTTGGGACCTTAGCTCTCCCGGAGCTTTACGAAGCTCGAATTCACATAAACTCGCAGCTACCGCCGATGAAACAGCTGCTACATCGCTGGCGATGGACTTGCTACCTATGGACAACTTTTTATACGTACCTAGTGTTTTTGGTGATGTTTATGTACTTTTGGAAGCCCGTTGTGTTTCGGGCAGCATCATTGAAGGAGTTGAGTGGTAACAATCGGGGAGCTTCGGCGAGTAGGGAAGCAGAGGAGTCGTTCGACGATATGGCAGATATAACGGTGGAGTTGTTGAGGAAATGGCAGGAGATGAGGAGGAAAAGGAAGGCTGCAATGTTTGCGTATAGAGAAGTTGGAGAAGGCGATG